CCCGCGCCGCTGCAATCGGGGGCCGAACCTCGACGGCGGCGGCGGGGTGTTTCTATTTTTCTACTCGGGTGTTGCCGGAAAATGTGTATGTGTGTGTGTGTGTGGGAGGGGGGTGCGGGATAGGTAGTGGTGGCGATGTTTTATGTTTTAATATGCTTCTACACGAAAAATAGATTAAGCTGTGATGATAATATAGACGTTAGCAGGTAATACGTTCATGAATTAGCTGTAGTTAGAAACTTAATTCAGAACCCAATAGTCGCTGAATTTGTTTTAATTGAAATTATAACAATATACAATTAATATTAGGAGAGTATTACCCAACACTAAATGCACTAAATTCAAGGAAACAGGTACCTCGTAAGCCTGTGAGGAATGGGACCTTCCTTCGAAAGGATCCATTAAAGAAATGAGTACACATTATATAGATCTTTTTCTAATGCCCATACCTCGCAGCTTGGGATAATTAACAACAAACCCCCTTGAAGATTAACGTAACGTGTTCTATTCTGTACCATACAATTTTATATGCTTTCACTTAGCATTCCATAACACAAATTGAAATTCATTTATAGTGCTTCAGGTTTTTTAAACAGTATACCCTTAATTATTAATAAATTCCAAATGCAAACAAAGAACACTATTTTTAGTCCCCCACTTGTAAACGCGCGTATAGTAGTTTAGTAGTTTGAACACCTCTTTCCAATCACCCCATTCCATTGCTTTTAACTCCTGACCTCTCTTCACGGTGTGGTTGATTTAACCTCAACTTTTCTGGACGTGTGCTGATTACTAAATTAGAATAAGGACCACACATGGGGTGCGCCATTATTATAACACAGTTTTCCTTATGGAAATTCGATCATGTGAGTTTTGACGTGAATTTTAAACTTGGTTCTTCAATTTCATAACCCCATTGTCGCGGACACTACGTTATCTTACTGCAATCCAGTCCACGTCTTGTAATATTACAGAATAAATATAGATATTTGTATTAAATAAACATTGGACATAACCTCGTCACCAAGAAAAGTCAAATACATCAGAGGGGATTGTACGAGCACGCGAATCAAAAGTGTCAAAACAGTGATTTATTTCTTTTTTTAATACTGTATACCATTTGCTCAATGTTCAAATAAGAACAGATAGTAAATTTGCAGAAGATAATATAAAAATAATAAACAGTGGAATATATGGTAAGACGAAGTTAAGTGATTGAAAGTTGTTGAACTATTTCAAGAATAAAAGGAAACAAATGGAATCGTCTGCATGGACAGTGCAGATCGTGACGTGCTTCTTTTGTCTCATACAGACACTGCTATTCAGATAGAACAAAAGAAAGTGTGCGATGTGAGAGTTTGATGATCGACACTTGACACATACGCCTGACTCAGCACCGACAGCCACTCTCAAATAAACATTATTTATATTGGTCGTATCTTAAAACCCCTTAATATATTTTTGTTCTGAAATTCTCCTTGTTGAATGAGTTGTGTAGGCGTTGCGAAGGTCTGATAATGCTTTGCCCCCGGAGTGGACTGTATTCAAATTTCTCGAAAAACAAAAGCAACATTAACAAAGGGAAGGTTCAAATCGGTCAGCGCTATCGCGTTAACAATCTGCCTTCATGATAAGAACGTCTTACAAAAGCGAATAGTAGTTGCCAGCAAATGCCTCTTGCAGTGTCCATAGCAACAAAAGGATGACACTTCGCAAACCGTTTGACAGTTCTTTTTCACGCCACAATAAAAATTATACATTTCTGACCAGGCGGTTTAATAATATTGTACAAATGTTTGCAGTAGTTTACAACATGCTCTTTGAATTCTTTTATGAAAGCATATGATCAATAATTGCGCATTTGATGCAGTTTGTTACTGCCATCCACTGAATGTATGAAGCTAGCTGCTAACCCGGCGTTTCCCGAGAATTTATTTATCACAGTCATGTTCTTCGCAGCGTCGCCCGGCCCGCGCGCTTTTCCCGTCCTCCCCGCACGCGCTGTCTGCTATGGTAGGTCACGGCTGTTCCAGCATCCACACTTCCCGCTCCGCCTACGCAGCTCCTTCCGCTCTCTGTCCCTCCCGTTCATCACGCTCCGCTTGCTTGCTGCCTTCCTTCTTTCCCCTTCGCCCACTTTTTCGTTCAGTCACGAGTTTCCGCTCCACCCTCTCCTTCCACTTTACCTACTACCACCGCCCCTCCTCATATCGCCCGTTCCATTCGGTTCCGCTACCCGCGTCACCCAGCAACAATTCGGGCAAGCTATTGCGTTTAGGTAAATATTATTAAAACTGGACATTTGGGGGTAATTTGTATCGAAACTTCACTATTTTTTATGCTTGACCACTCAGAAGTATGCTTGTCAAATTTAGGAGCAATTCCTTCAGTGGTTCTAAAGCTTTTCTAGCTCATTCTCTAACATTTATGTTATTTTATTGTAACATATTATTTAAAGATTATATTAATTTTTAAGGAAAAATTAAAATGCGTACGGAAAGATATTACTCGTTTTTTTTTCCATTTTCCATTTTCCACCATTTAACAAAATTCCCTCTTAATCATGCAAGGGGATGTTGATTAAAGATAATGGTGTCAATGACATACTGGTGGTTTTGATGCATTTAAAATGATATAATGAAAGATTTTCAGTAGTAATTTTTAAAATTAGTTTTCTTTCGAAAAAATGTCGTTAAAAGAGAAGAATTTTGCAAGAGACAGAGAATCGAAACACTTTTTGAAAGTGACGTCCCTTTTTTTTTAAGGAAAAAAGGCAATTTTACTAGTGAAATCCACAAATGCACTGGCTAGCTTTTAATAGAAAACCTTCAACTTGTACATATTACTTATGATAGTTACTCATTCGCAATACGTTGTATTTTTAGAATGCATGTGTGAAAGCCATTACTGTCCAGACGCATTTAGCTTTCTACATATGTGTGAAAAGCAAGACATGTTTTGCTTGGACTGGCTACACGATGAATGAAATCAACGATGCTAACTAAAATTATGATATACATACTACATGCGAAATAACGTCCATTTTTAGAGTGCGTTGGAGGATTAGTTCGTGGTATCTTTTATTCTTTCCACTTTCTTCAGATTCTTCCATTAGCATTTTCCTAAGATTAAAAAATATAACCGGAAATATCATTAGTATACTTTTTTTGTATACCAGCATTATAGACAACTTTTTCTGCTGCCAGAAATAGTTCATAAAAGAGCATTTTACGGCACAAATTAATGACGTATTAGATTTTACGGCACGAACGTCATCAATCGTTGATGCAATCGCAGCGAGAGAATCGTGGGAAGGTAGCGTCACACGGACAGCCGACCACCGTTTTCTCGCAGATGTCAAATATCCGAGACTTCACAAGAAAGTTATTTCGCAAAATTAAGTTGGATTCTCTTATAAATTTATAATACTGTTACACAAAAAATAGTGTGCGCCCCTCGTTTGTAATGTTGCATTATTGCATACGTACAAATTTGAAAACCCGCTTCTAATGTCCCTCGTTTTCAAAACGTGTACTCATGCAATAAAGCTTAACATAATAAAATAATTGCATAAACTACTATCATGATGTAAACATTGCGTTTAAATTTATAAAAATATATTACTCGTACTTAAGTGCAAATAATTAATTTAAAATTGTGGGAAGAGATTTTCTGGGTTGTTGGAACGCCAGCGATGAGCTTGTCATGTATGGCTCCAGTCACTGTTAGAAAGAACACATGCTGATAATAGACTTCCGGTAGTTCACTTAAGAGCTTTTTCGTTATTTCCTTTAAGAGCTTTTTTGAGCGTTACTTCATAAATTTTCGCATCGTTTTTTAAGTATGAGCAATGAATGAAGTAACACAATTAAGTGCCAGATTTGAAAATGCGTGAGTCATGGGATACACAAATTCAACATCTGACATCACATAATCGTAAACGGCAACACTACGAGTATGCCTCGTTGTTCCTATATACCGGTTTTCTCTCTTATTTTATTGGACTATTGATATTCAAAATTTGTTTCGACGAATTGCAATATTTCGGAACGTTAAATGGTTTTTAATGCAGAAAAAATCAATTAAAGTTATTTCAAGTTCAGGTTAGAACTACAATGACATCTCACAATCTTAATTAATTTTACTGATTATCTGGCTAACATTTTTAGTTATGGAGTCTTCCGTTTCAGAATCTTGATTGGATATACCTAGTATTTTCACATCTGAAAATCTGGAGTTTACTGTATAAAACATCTCTTTTTCCCGTTTGCTGTCGTATTCTGAAACTAATGGTGCAACAGAAGTGCACAGACTTTCCCGTATTCGTTTTCTATTTCCTTTGGTCTCGGCTAGCTATACAAACTTGCTACATATTCTTGCCAGCTGCCAATTATAGCTGCGCAAAATACTTTTTAAAAAATTCTTAATTTTTCGGTTTCCTAATAGTAGAAATGACGTATTATTTTAAGAATATTAAGGAAGAGTACAACCTCGTACTAAATGATAATTTCCTTTGATAAATTTGGAGCCGTTTTAAGAAAATGCCGATTATCCGCTACTGTAAAATCGATATTTTGAGCTCTTTTTCACTAGTTTTCACAGAATACGGTTGAGTCGTCCAGAAACTTTATATGCCATTATATAAAGCACATGTACTCATTAATATAATAATGCAAACAAATACCATCTAATGAAAATATTAACAATGTGAGAGAAGTTAAATAAATTACATTTCTGTAATTTTTGAAGAAAAAAAAAACAAAACAAAAAAATGAACATTTTGTTTGTCATTTCATAGAATACATTGAGGACTATCCCTCCCAAAAGTTTAAG